ACAAATGCATTTGTCTGTGTTGTTACCAATTCGCTGGAAGCAAACGCAAAATACAAAATAATGCTCAGACAAAAACATTTTTCCATTCAGATATCTTTGTAGCAGTTTTCAATCTTGAATATGTCTGAAAAACTCTAAAACTGGCAACAAATCCCCTGTTAAATTTCCCCGAGCCTTTTTGCACTTGCACTGTACTTCCCCAGCCACCTATACACCCCTTTGCTCCCTCTCCCACCTGGCAGCAGCCACTTACCTGCCTGCTGGCCTGCTTGCAAGCCACCTGGGGCTTGCAACTTCCTGCTGGCTTCCAACAGCCAAAGTCAGTGGGGAAGCCAGCAGGAAGTTGCAAGTCCCAGGTGGCTTGCAAGCAGGCCAGCAGGCAGGTAAGTGGCTGCTGCCAGGTGGGAGAGGGAGCAAAGGGGTGTATAGGTGGCTGGGGAAGTACAGTGCAAGTGCAAAAAGGCTCGAGGAAATTTATCAGGGAATTTGTTGCCAGTTTTAGAGTTTTTCAGACATATTCAAGATTGAAAACTGCTACAAAGATATCTGAATGGAAAAATGTTTTTGTCTGAGCATTATTTTGTATTTTGCGTTTGCTTCCAGCGAATTGGTAACAACACAGACAAATGCATTTGTATCTTATTCTCTCCTAAACTCTTAGGTGAAGTCCTTGGCTACATCTTGTCCAGAGGAACTCCAGAAAGGCAACGTATTAGCCTGGCCAGATTTTCTTCCTGGGGTTGTTGGAAGAGTGAAGATAGATCCCAAAAGCATATTCTGTGCTGGTTAGACCTTTTGTTCTCTTTGAAAGCCTTAATAGATGTTGCATTCAAACCATGTTTGGGAAAATTGTGGCACTGAATGAAAGGTTTCCAGAAAGCCTCAGAGAGAAAATCAGTAACGAAAGTTACTTCTCCTGCAACAGGCACCTATAATGAAAGAGAAAATCAACAGTGTTGATATTGCTGACTTTCTCTTACAACAAGGAACATATGGTATATTCTAGGACACGTTCTTAATTCATGAGACAATAATGAATGGCCAATATTCCATATGGAAACAAGAAACCAGTCATGTTATACAGTAGAAAAATGGAAGACAGATAGAGCTGTTAAGGGCAAGAAGATTTATTAATATATTGGCTTTTAGAAACATAGTTTAATATGTTAAAGGGAAGAGCTTAAAAGCATTCTAAGTATTACTAATAACATTTTAATATAATTCACTCCCTTATACAGTTTGTAGTAAATAATTATATGTGAACATGTTTAAGTTAAATCTTTGTTAAATAAGCTACTGTTTAATTTCTAATAAATTAATTAAAAGAGCATAAATTATGAATAAGATTTTCTATTTTGCATATGTGTTATTCAAGAATAAATTATAGTATAGTTGGTTTCATTATTTCAATTGTTCCTGTTAAAAAACTATAAAATGTATCCTGAAAATCCTTTTGTCATTCCATGTTCTTATATTTACCAACTTTGCTGATTTGTTATTTTTAGCAACTCTCTAACACTAATCATTTTATTAAAAAATTGCCAAAATCACCTATAGTACACAAAGTCCTCAGAGCAGGCTCATCAGGGAAAATAATTCCCTAATAGTAGAAAACTTCAAAAATTACTGATACTATTTCTGAGGCATGAGGCTAGAAATGCAATTATCCCCATGGCTTGCACAGATACATTTGATCATTGAATGACTGGAACATTCAGTCTTAATTCCTCAGATTCCAGTGTTGTGTAATAAATGTTCACTGGGACCTCAGGCAAAATATTTATGGTTTCCTGCATTAAGAATGTTGAAAGCCTGAACTTTAGGACTAGGTCATAAGGGAAATATTTCCTGGCTTTCATGAAACAATAATTTCATTTTTTCTTGATTCATTATTTTGTTTTTATTATTGTTGTTGGATTTTTTGTCATTTTTAAAATATAAACATTGTTTTAACTTAGATATTGAAATGTAGAACATTTCCAACTTTAAGACAGCTGTAGAAATACTTATAGATTTAACTAGATAGCTTACTCAGTATAGTATGGAGAACTTGAATGATGAGTACAGAAGTGCAGGACTTAAATTTGATTGTTGTTTGTAAATATTCACAACTCAGCCATGTTTCCCTTACTTCTCCCCCTCCACATGGATAAAATATAGTGCCCTCAGAATCTTCCTTCTCTGACAAATGAAATGATTATTTAGCAGTTCAGTATACTGTAATTTCATTTTAATGGACTAATGGAGGGGGGGGAGTCATGAATATTTGTTAAATAAGTACATAATTGTGTCATGTTACATTATTTGCATGGTCAGTACCCAAATAGCACAAATTCTGTTGCTTATAACATCACACAAATCATCATAGAAATTGGGTCTGTTGCCTGCAAAATCCATTGTAAATCGAAGTTTCACTGAACCGTGATGAACTCCAGCTATTCCATGGGGATACTAACAAAGCATGTAACACAGCCATTGAGTATTGATCATGCTCTTAGATGTTATTTACATGCATATATATGAATTGTTTTATGCATACATGTTGATTTGTTCACAGATTGTCAACCTTTAGAAGGTTCCATTCCCCATCTGAAAACTTCATCAGCTATTTTAAAGCCAGGATCAAAAGTCTCTGTCTACTGTGACCCAGGTTTCCACATAGTGGGAAATTCTGTCTTGCACTGCCTAAATTTAGGACAATGGACACAACCTCTTCCACATTGTGAAAGTAAGCAGCTATTCCTAGCAGTTTTAACTTCAATGTATACTGCACTGTTGCTCAGAAGTTCCTAGGCCTGAGTTTAAAATTTTCTGATATGGAAGTCGCTTAGTGATATCCACAAGGTACTTCTTGTATTGTTTTCATATAACCAAAATTTATTGTTAGTTTGTAGAACAAATTTGCTTGCAAATGTATATATAAGTTAGATGGTCCATGAGATGAGGTGTTATTTTTATTGTTGGGTACTTATTGGATTTGTTCTTTATGACCATTGTAGCTTTTTTATGCTTTGTTGAGACTGTGTTCATAGTCTTTTTAATGTGTTGTTAGCAAATTTTGGAAAAGCTTTTTGCATTGTTTTCACATAACCAAAATTTATTGTTAGTTTGTAGAACAAATTTGCTACTACAATTAGTAGAGAAGATGAAATTCCAAAAGCAAAGAAAAACACACAGCACACGTTCTTCTCTAGATTGCAGCCTAGTATTCATACTCATTGAAGTTTGTACAATTAATCTAACTAAAGATAGAACTACATTGTGTCAGGAATTAGGACATAAGCTCATGGAAGCCATTTGAAGAAGAGTTTAAATATGTCTCATCCCCTAAAAAGTTTATATGTATATTTATATACTGTTTGGGTACAGGAATTAGTTGTGGAGAACCTCTACCTTTAGAAAATGGATTTTACTCTGCTGAGGATTTCTTTGCTGGAAGCTCTGTTACCTACCAGTGCAACAGTGGTTATTACTTGTTGGGAGACTCAAGGATGCTCTGTACAGACAACGGAAGCTGGAATGTTATTTCACCATCTTGCCTTGGTAAGTCCACACAGACCACATTGTTAATATCAGAAGCTAAATCTGTGCTTTCCTGTCCAGTCCTAAGGACTTTGTGACCATGGGTGACCACAGGAGGACAAGTGACATTTTTTGAATCATGATATCATTGTGCAAAATGGGGCACTGTATATCATTTGCATCATGCCATCACTGACACAAGTTATACACTTAATGTAAGTGGCGCAGTGATGCCATGATTCATGTTATGTTATTGTGGCTCGTACTTGTGACTCAGATGTGAACTAAATCTGTCCAGTTAAGCATAGAGCCAGGACCTAGATAGGTTCTTTAGATTTCTTGAGTCTTACATGTGCCATAGGATTTATAAAAGCACCTATCTGAGCTGCTGTTCAGGTGTACAAAGCTCAAGTTCCCTTTGGCATGCACAATTTGTGGGTCTTTGGATTCTACTAGAAAGGGATTATCATTATTTATTAATGTATGGTCCAAGACCGAACCAACAAACATTAAAACATATACAGCCATTTAAACATTTATATGTATAACTTACCTAGAAGCCAAAAACAATCAAAGCTTTGGGGAAGGCACCAGCCAATTCCCATAGCCTAAAGCTACAGATAAAAAATCGCTACCACCCTACATACATTTAGATATCGGTAACTTAAAAGGAAAGCAGTGATCTCCTTATCATAAGAGAAATAAAACTTTGTAATAATAAGCAGTGATCTCCTTATCATAAGAGAAATAAAACTTTGTAATAATGGGCTTATAAATTTTAATTCCCCTTGTGGATAGAGTAGACATTTAATAGAACATGGCACACAGATTCAACCTCTGTATCTGAACATACATTTTTTATATGGGAGGTTGAAATATCTTCCAGTTATTGCTCTAATGGGTAGTGCATCAATTCAGGCCAGAGAAAAAAGCTTATACTAGACACCAATGATGGGGACCATTCTGGTAGGAAGAGGTATGTGGTCCATCCTGCTCTTCTTTCACATATGTAGGCTTATATATTTCAATAAAAATTTTGACAGAACTTGGATAGATAACTTTCAAGAATTGCTGACAACAGAAAGAATACATGTTTGCATTTTTGTCATCACTCAGAATCTGTCTCAGCAGTTTCTCATAAGTTTTATTATATGCTCATAAAGTACCATGTGTAGTTTGTACAGAAAGAAAGAAAAGTGCAGGCATGTAGATTTTTTTCACAGATTGTTTTCAATAGATCTTAAAGTAATGAGCATCGTAATGAGCATCTCTGTATTTCCGTGAGGGAACAGAGCCAGTCTCATCTCTAAGACACTGATTTCTGGACCACCAGTGGTGATATTACCAAGACGATTATGAAGCTAGTGCCATCAAGTCATATGGCATTGCAGAGAATAATAAAAAGACAAGATAGGCCAGCATTTTAATCAGGATGGTCTAGGAAATTAAAATGACAAAGAAGGAATAGGTAAAGATAGCAATGGATGAATGGGAGCAATCACAGATGCGGTTTGGTTCAAAGTAAGAACTAGAAAGAGCAGCTACATAGTTGGACTGAAGTTTACATAAAGTGACAGAGAAAAATTAGCAGCATTTGGTATGTTCTGTGAGTTCCACGCATAAGAGGCAGCGAAAGAGTATAGGAGGAGACTTTTAGGAGATTATAAGTATACTCTGGAATGAAAAAGACTCAGGGGCAGTTGGAAGCAGAGCAGGAAAATGAGGGGAAAGAGGGTAACATTTTTTAGTAACATGAAATGCTATATTTGTTTATAGATGTTGATGAATGCGCAGTTGGTTCATACTGTGACTCCCATGCTTCTTGCCTTAACACAAATGGATCCTACATATGTACCTGCATTCACCCATATAGAGGAGACGGCAAGAAATGTACAGGTAAAGGAGCAGGAGTGCAGAGCAGTTTGGATGAGCATAAGGAAAATTGCCCAGCTTGTTTTCTGTAGAATCACAGTAGAATTTTAGCTCTAGGTTAGTCCTCCTATTCAGATCCATCACTGAGATTCCAGATTACCAGCCTCACAAAGTCAGTAGCATAATATGCATAAGCTTTAAATGGAGCTAGATTAAAGATTTTATTGAGTAACATTTGTACTAATAATCCTTTATAAAGACTATATTAAATCATATTTTTCTTGAAACTAAATCAAGGTTTTCTAAAAAGATATGGCCTATTTAATTAATTAATTTATTTATCACATTTATATAGCCACCCATCTCACACAAAGCGATTCTGGGGGGCATACAACAACTGAATAAAATAACCAATAGATAAAAACAATCATCCCAAAAGATTTTAAAAAGTGATTATTTAAATGCAACATTATCAAAACATTAACATTTTAAAATATATATTTATTTAGTCAGATCTGCAATGGATAAAATGAGAAAAAACTCAAACCACTAAAAAGAAGAGATTCAAGCATGAACTGGCACACAGCAGTGTGTTGGGAGATATGAGAGGGGTCTTCCTGTTGAATATGGCAATTTCTCATCAAGTTCTTCCCCTCTTCCTTCATAACAGGAAGTGTGTCGGGTCTAGCCCAAGGAACTCCAGGAGATCATGCAGAATCAATCCAGCA